GGTAAAGTACTAAAGAGTTTGGGAGGACTTGGGCCTGTCGCCAGTGTATGTTGGGGGGAAGGGGGGGAGTAAAGAGTTTCGGGGGTCTGGAGTCTTTCAATGGTGTATGTTGTTTTGAGGGGGATAGGGGAATTTGGGGCCTGCACCTGTTGCTGGTGTTAATTATATGGGTGGTGGTTTGTGGTGCTTCCGTCTGTACTGTGACTTGTCCCCAGATCTCTTGACAGTTGCTGTAGTTTTGGTGATATCAGACTCTGTTTACTGGGTCCAACACTCATTGTAAGATGTTTATGTTGCTACTGCTGTTCTGCTGTTCAGGCATTTTCCCTTCCTCTTCCTCAGACATGCAGCAGGATGCCAACGGAGTTCCCCTAGAGAGAATTCTGCCGCAGCGTACGAAGCTACACGAGCTGAAGGAAAAGTTGCAATCGATGTCCTCAAAACGACGGAAGTCTCCGTACGAGAAGCTCCGAGAGGAGATCCTTGAAAGTCTTCAGTCTCACCTTCGACGTCTGATAACCTGCCCCCTCACCCTGCCCCTGCACGAGGCTCTGTACTTCAATGACCTCGCAGCCGTGAAAGAGCAGCTGAAGGCCGCGCCGCGATGCTCCACGCAGAGAGCCCTGACCTTGCCGGGCCGCTACCTCAACTGTGCCTGTTGTCACGGCAATGAGCACAGCATCCTTCCCAGCATGCCGGACATCTGCATCGTGTACAAGCTCCACCTGGAGTGCGGCACGCTGGTGAACCTGTACGACTGGCTGCAGGCGTTCGTCACCATCATCACCGCGGCAGGGGACAAGGGAGGCAAGTCAAAGAAGAAACCGCAGAAACCCAGCACTGAGCTCCGCGCCAGGTTCATCAGGGCGGTATCAGAGTTACAGTTCCTGGGATTTATCAAGTCCACTCGGAGGAAGACGGATCATGTGACACGCCTGACCTGGTAGATGTGGGGCACTGGTCATGTGACCCTCCGGACCTGGTAGATAGGGGAGACTGGTCTTGTGACGTTGTAATTATAGGGGGGGTGGGGGGGTGGAGTGGAAGAGTAATCATGTGTCTTGTTTTACCAGGAGAATGTGAGCGAGAGACTGGCCTTTGGGACTTGTTCAAACCTGGGGGGAGTGTGAGTGAATAATCATGTGACTTGTTGTAAGTTAGGAATGTGAGAGGCTGATCGTGTGACTTGTTGTAAGTTAGGAATGTGAGAGGCTGATCGTGTGACTTGTTAATGTTGGGGAATTTGGAAAGGCTGATCATGTGACTTGTTGTGACTGGAGGATGTGAGGGGCTGGTCATGTGACTTGTGTTGGTGTTTTGAATGTATTTTTTTCTGTGTGGACAGTATAGCATTTATTGCTTTGCTCTCTCAGAGAGCATCAGACACAACTTGAGGTGCTGAAAATTAGAAAAATGAAGGATATGTACCAAACCTTGACTGTCTGGTTTGTGGGTGGTTGGCGGATGCTCTGGTGTGGTTTGCTCCTTCTTTCCTGTCAAACATCTGTCGTTCTTATAAATCTCACCTTCTTTTTTATGTTTGTTACTCTCTTGTAACACCTCTAATCTTCTGGCGCTCATAGGACCTTATGCAGTTGCAAGCGCCGTAAGACCTCTACTAAAACTGAACTAAAAAACTGTCTTGTTTCTTTCCCTGTGCATCTGAACAATATCACAAGGCTCTGTGGTTCAGCACTTTAATGAAACCATTCTCCAAGTACTAAGGGACAGAGTAAGAAGCTGAAAGTGTGTTGAACAGATTAACTATACGTGTAGTGTGCCTCACAGTTCATGTTCTATCGCCTGATTCCCCGTTTGGACTTCTCTGTTGACATTCACCCCTTGGCGTTCATCTGAACTTATGCAATTGCCAGCGCCGTAAAACCTTACTAAATCAAACATGTTCTATCGGCATCTTCTCTTCACACCCCCCCTCTCTCCCTTTATTTTTCGCCTTCTCTCTGTTGACCTTGAGCCATTTAGTTGGCTTATGCACCAGTTGGGTGTCTAACTTTTCAGCAGGAGAGATTACATGTATGAAAGTTTTCACATCAGTCTCCAGAAATAATCGTAATATGAAGAGAAGCCAAAGCAGGCAAGAACATGGTCGTTCAGTGTTCCTCATTGTTTGAGAGCTGACATTTGACTACCCCAGAATTACAAAGTTCTTCTATTTAATCTATTAGAGAAATTTGAAATAAAAAATTATGAGTCTCTCAGGGGGCTCTCGTGGCCTAGAGGTTAAGGTGTTGGCCTCTCATTCAAAAGGTCCCGGGTTCGAATCTGGGTAGCGACCGAAAAATTTTCTTCTCTAAATGTGTCTCATTTCACCTCATTTCCTGCTCTCTAGCACAATGTTCTGTTGTCTGCTTTCGTCTCCTCTTTCTGCCCCCACCCCCTCACCTCCTTTGCCCCTTCCTCTGGGCTCCTGATTCTTTCTGCAGCCTTTCTACTGCTACTCCTTCGCTTCTTCTTACTGCTGTCTTTCTGCCACACCCCTGATCTTCTGGTAGGAAAGATCTACACCTAGCCTTCTCTGCTGACAAGGGCGAAAAAATCTCAGAGGGCCCGTGTGCAAGTTGCGCACGTTAAAGATCCCTTGGTGGTCTAAAATCGATAAGAGTAGGCTTCGGCCGCCACCCGAGCAAAATTCAAAATTTCCTACCAACTGAAAATATTAGGTGTGTCCCGCGCGCTCATATGACCTTATGCAGTTGCGAGTGCCGTAAAACACTTCACAAAAACAAAAACATGAGTCTCTCAATGTGGTCAAGTTTTTTCGAATGCAATTCCTTGAATATCTTGATAACGACTCTGAATAATCTAATGAGTAGATAGAAAATAGAACATTTGGTTATGGTAACTCAGAACGACCAAAAATAATAAGATAGAACTTTGTAAATCTTGAGGTATGGACTTGTCCAGACAGTTTTTTCCCCATGTCTGGCCTGACCGTGTAAGGCGCACCCTTCGAGATGTTACAGTGATGTCACATTACAGCATAGTAAGATATTAAATGTTGGAATTCCCCCCGTGGCGATGCCACTGACTGAAGTGTTTTTAGGCCATTCCCAAAGGGGGAAATTTCTCGTTCATTCACAGTAGAATTGTAAATGGGCTGATTCATCAATGTCACGCACATAACTGCCTGATCAAGGAACTGCTGCTTTTTCTTTTCTGATCCTTACTATTGTCATTTTTTCCTCTACTTCTTTTGTATGTTTGTCATACTCTTGTGACCCACTATTTCCGGGGTGCCTTGATAGTCGAAGCAGACTCTGTGCTGTTGAAGCTAGAGAGGTGAGCAGAGTAAGTCTGATTCCCTGTAAGGACTTTTCTGTTGACATCCACCCCTTGGCACTCATATGACCGTAAGCAGTTGAAAGCGCCGTAAAACCTCTACTTATACTAAACTAAATATTGGAATTATGTGTCTGTTGTAAAAGATGCTTGTCTCCATGTTTATTTGTGAGTCCAACAAACCTGTAGCAGTGGGTGGTTGGCGGGTGCTCTGGTGTGGTTTGCTTCTTTCCTATCAAATGTCTATCTTCCCTATCTTTCATTCTTTTTTGTGTTTGTTACTCTTGTAACACCTCTAATCTTCTGGTGCTCATATGACCTTATGCAGTTGCGAGCGCCGTAAAACCTCTACTAAAACTAAAAAGACCTGTAGCAGGGTTCGTGCGGGTCTTGGAAAAACTAGAAAACTCTTGGAATTTTGGGAAATTGGCAGAATTCTTTGAAAAGTCTTGGAAAAACACATTTTAAAAACTAGATCTATTGTAATATTTCCTGGGAGTCTAGAAGGCCTCAACTTTACGCATTCTGAAGTGTACCAGAATGTATTTTTGCATGCTGAATGAAAAATTTTCTTCCGAAATGACACACATTATTTGTCTTGGAAAAAAGAAATCTGGTCTTGAAAACTCTTGGGAAAAGTCTCTCAGTATGAACTCTGTTGTAGTGCAAGTATACAACTATACATCATCTCCTATCCAGATCTTTGCTGCTCATAGTTGGTATGTTTATTATGTTTTATTTTATAGATTATGGAAGTACGGTATGTTATAAGTATGTGTTCTGACGGTTGTACTATATATATGAGTGTAATTTTGTTATATGTAAATGTTGTTTTTGTCTGTTTTTTGTTGAGTTTCATTGTGGTGCTTACTTGAAGCTTGAAATTTCATGAGCAATGTTTGCATTCCCTCACTTGTTCCACAAATAAAGGTATGAAAATTCCGTTGTTGGAACAGTTGTTAATCCTTTCACTTTCATTATTGCTGTTCATCATCTTAAGTGTGTGGCTCGTGTAATAGTTAAATAGTAACACAATCAGTTATGTAATAGTTGTTAGGCTCTCGGACTCGCAACCGTAAGGTCGTGGGTTCGAATCCCATCAGGGGCCCGACGTTGTGTCCTTGGGAAAGGCACTTTGCACAAATTTTCCTCACTTAACCCAGGTGGAAATGGGTACCCGGCTATAGACAGTGAAAGATCTTGTCAGTTTGATAGTGTTTGAGCGCGTGAAAAATGCAGCTTGCACTGTATGCTTCCGCGGAAGCTGAGAATGTTTCTGAGTGTTCTCAGAGGGTCTGCTGGGGTAATAATAGTTGTAAAGCGCATAGAGCAAGCTCTTGAGCATGGATATGCGCTATATAAATGCAATTATTATTATTATTAATAGTTAATAGTAACACAATCAGTTTTGGGGATTAACAACACACCAAAGGTGTTCATCAAATCTCAACCTGTGTAAATCATGGATTTTTAAAAATTAATTCGGGAATATTTCCTCTTCACCTCTTCAACCAGAGCGCCATTAAAAGTTTGAGTGCTCTTTCTTAAATGTGACATTTGCTGTGTCGGGTTGGTGTAAAACTTTCACCGAGTACAGTCGACTACGGATGAAGTGGGGGGGGGTGTTTGTGTGAATGCACGGTTGCTTGAACGAGTCTTCTTCAAATTGTCGTTACGCCCTAGATAACACGATAAGGAAAAAACCTCATCCAAAGTTCAACTTAAAGGTTAGGACCTCTAAAGAAAAAGAGGTGCTGGACCCCAGGAAAATAAGTCAACTTAACCGAAGATCCACTCAATCCAGTTAAGCACAAGTGGAGTCTTTGGGCAGACCAAAGATGACATGGAGGCGAGCGGTACAAGCGGAAATTGAAAAGCGGGGACATCATGGAAACAGATAGAAAAGGATGCTCAGGACAGGCTTCGCTAGAGTAATGCTGTTGATGGCCTGTGCTCCACTGGGAGTTAAAAAGGGCAAGAGAGGAGTCGACTGTACAAACTACATGTAATTTATTAAAAAATTTATCTGGTGCCTTCTCTCACAAATGCTGCGCTCTCTGTCCTAATGACTTCTGTTATATGGTTCTTTCTGCGAGGTAGACTCTCCATCTCTCTGGTCTTTGCCTTTTTTGTGTAGCTTGGAAATATTATCTCTCATTCTTCCTTGAGATAAAGTTTGTCTTTCTGTAGCATTCATCATCATCATCCAGTACCAGACCTGCGACAGACATCGGCGATCATGATTTTCCATTCATTTCTTTGCTCGGATGCTCTCAAAAAAGCTACGTTTCCCTGATCTTCCCCTGTTACCCATTTGTTTAGGTTCCCTAAGTATGTTGTTCTGGGTCTACCCCTGCCTCGCTTGCCCTCAATTTTGCCAGTGAGAGCTAGATGTTCAAGATCCTTATATGTCTATTCAGGTGTCCCAAAAACTGCATTTGTCGTTTTCTGGTTGTTTTTAACATTGAGCGTCCCACGTGGGCTTCATCAAGCACTACCTCATTTGATTTCTTTTCCTTCTTTGCTATCAAACATCTATGGTCCTTACCTCTCCTCCTTTCCTCTCTCTCTTGCCCTTTTTAACTCCCAGTGGAGCACAGGCCATCAACAACATTACTCCAGTGAAGCCTGTCCTGAGCATCCTTTTCTATCTGTTTCCATGATGTCCCCGCTTTTTCAATTTCCGCTGATACCGCTCGCCTCCATGTCATCTTAGGTCTTCCCTTCTTACGCTTTCCTTGTGGGTTCCATGTTAAGGCCTGCCTGATGATGCTTGTCCGGGGTCTCCTCAGGGTGTGTCCAATCCATTTCCATTTCTTCACCTGAATATCTTCCTTTACTGGCCTTTGGCTTGTTCTCTCCCACAGTTGAGCATTCGTGACTCGATCGTACACTTGATCCCCACTATCCTTCGTAGGCATCCATTTACGAAGCTCTGCAATTTCCTTGCTGCTGATGCTGTGAGCCTCCATGTCTCTGAACCATACAGTAGAACAGTCTTCACGTTTGTTTGGAAAATCCTCAGCTTGGTGTTCAATCCCAGTTCCTTAGACATCCATATGTTCCTGATAATGATGAATGCTGCTCTTGCCTTTTGGATTCTGACCTTGATGTCTTCGTCTGTTCCCCCTGCCTTGTTGATGACACTTCCCAGGTAGGTGAAGGATTCAACATCCGCCGATGGAGCCCCTTGCAGTGTGATAGGAATGTCGGCTGCTTCCATAAATGTAGAACTTTCGTTTTATCCGTGTGAATATGGAGTCCAACACTACGGGAGAAGGTCCTGAGGCGATCTGTTTTCTGTTGCATCTGGGCTCGACTGTGAGAAAGAAGTGCCAAGTCGTCGGCAAAGTCCAAGTCTTCCAGCTGACTAGAAAGGGTCCACTGTATGCCACTGCGTTGTCCCGATGTTGTCTGTTTCATTATCCAATCCACTGCTAATAAAAAGAGAAAAGGCGATAGCAGGCATCCCTGTCTCACTCCTGTATTCACTTCAAACGAGTCTGTTCGCTGCCCTCCAAGTAAGACACTGCAACTCATTCCCTCATACATCTTCTTGATCAATCTCACGAACTTGTCAGGTATTCCGTAGTGGCGCATGAGCGTCCATATTGAATCCCTATCTAGGCTGTCAAAAGCTTTCTCGTAGTCAACAAAGTTAACGTACAGGGAAGAGTTCCACTATTGTCCTCCCTCCTTTCCTATCAAACACGTATCATCCCTATCTCTTTTTATTTCCTCTAATCAAATATCTATCGTCCTTACCTCTCCTTCTTATTTTGTTTGTTACTTTTTTGTACATGTGACACCTAAGCTTCGCCACTTGTATGACCTTATTTTATTTGTTGCAAGTGCTGTAAAACTTACTAAAATCTCGAGTCACTTTGTATGTCAGTTGACAAATTTAGTTTGACGATTCATGATTCGAATGCTGATAAATGTACGTAAATGACTCTGTTCATAGGTGTGTATGTAATGTATGGGTCAGAATATATACCATAATTACAACACCCAAAACTGAGTGTGTTTGGGAATAAAGCTGCATTTTGCAGACTAGAAATCATGTAAATTGGCGAGATACAAGGGTGAAAAAGTGAGTGAGTGAAAAAAATGTATTTCATTTTGTATGTACATACATCATGTTGGAGTAAACAAAGAAAACGAAACAAAACGCTCGCGTTTTCCGACACACCCCGATCGGATCGAGTGCGTGCCGGCTTCAAAACTGAACGGCCCGTCGGCTCTCGTTTTACGGGCTGCGCGGCGCGCGATAGTAAAGTCCTGTTATTATTGCAATTGATAGTACTCATCAAGACGAGCATTTTGATGTATGATTTATGTAAATCAGATAATTAGCAACTGAATTACAAACGTTTTTGGAGACGCTAAAATGACGGTCACGCGTTTCCTATGTTAAAAATGGACCAATTTTGCCTGAAAAATGACGATGAATATTGGCCATAACTTTTGAACTAATAAAGCTATCTAAAAAATTTAAAAAGCATAATAATCAGTGTCACAGGCTCTATCCATTGGTGTGTCTTTTTGTTCTGTTTAATCAATCTGAATTTTTTAGAAAAGTGCCTATGTTTATCACACAACAAGGGTTGACCAATGAAAGAGTTTAGCAACAGATTTCAACTTTAGCGTAGTCACGGCCGGGGGATTCTCTTCAGTCCCCTTGAGCTGTCCCCGTGGTTTTATGCATCCCGCATAATTTAGCAAAATTTGATCTTTTTTTGGGCATAATTTCTAATTATATTCCTTTATCGTTCTTTTTAAAAATTAACAGAATCGCATAATTTCACATTTTTGGGCTCAGTTTGCATAATTTCAGAATTTTTCTTGCATAAAACGACGGGGACAGCTTGAGGTGACGGTTGTAGCACCAATATTACAAACAATGCTCAGAGGTTTCTTTTAAAAATCGGTTGGTTCAGAATCATTCTGACTTTGCATTATAGTTCACATTGTCAAAGAGTCCTAAAATCGTGCAAAGGTTTCGTCATTCTCCAAAACTCCACTTGCGCCTGTGGTGTAGTAGTAAGGCACTTTGCTGCCCCACACTGAAGACCTGAGTTCAATTTCTGTGCGAGGAGAGCTTTTATCGAGTATGTTTTTCTGCTGGGAGTTTGTGTCCCTCTAAGAAGACTTGGTTTGCCTTGAAAGGCATTGTGGTAGCCCACCTCCTAAATGACCTAAATTGTGTCAACGGAGGCGTTAAAACACCTACCTAGATCTACATCCATTTAATTATTATTTTTGTTCAAATGCACCCCATATTGCGCTGAGTTATCACTTTCTTCTGATCATGATTTTCGTCAGTAAAATTATTATGCATTATGTCCTGGAGAGCAGTCAGTCAGGAAGGAACATCTCAGGGTCGGAGTAAAACAAATAGAACATCTCAGGGTCAGAGTAAAACAAATAGAACATCTCAGGGTCAGAGTAAAACAAATAGAACATCTCAGGGTCAGAGTAAAACAAATAGAACATCTCTGGGTCAGAGTAAAACAAATAGAACATCTCAAGGTCAGAGTTAAAAAGAAGAAGAAAAAAACAGCGCAGGGTTTCAGACACCACTATTTCATTGTGTCTGGTTCATGAAATCCCAGGCAGGAAATGTTATTATTATCAGCACCATTTTGATTCCATAAATTCTGATACTATATTTTCACTCAGAGAGGAAACTGAAGGCATGGGGATGAAAGGGAAGGGGGTGGGGGGCTGTGCGTTGACAGACTTCACAGAATCCGACGTTACTTTCCAGGGTTTGGACCGTTCTTTGATGTTGACGAGGGGTGAAGACCCTTGACTTTGCAAACATGCGATTGAAAGTGCTCAGCCCCACACAGTCAAACGCATCATATGTTTTATTGGGGAATTGTTCGCTTTCGACTCCTCCCCTAGTCAAAATATAGTATAAGCTCCTGACTCGTCATCACAAGAGGTAATTCATACTCGAGTTTACACAAGAGGTCATTCATACTCATGTTAACGCAAGAGGTCATTCATACTCATGTGAACGCAAGAGGTCATTCATACTCGAGTTTGCACAAGAGGTTAAGCTTACTCACATTGATACAAGACGCCACAGTCACTCATGCCATACTCATGTTGGCGCAACAGGTCGCTTGCACCCACTGATACAAGAGGTCAAGGTCACTCACATGCATTTAAACACAAGAGGTCAATGTCGCTTCACACCCTGTGTGCCCGTCGTCGGTTCCCGCCTTTTCCCCTGCCCCTCCAGTCCTGAAACTCCTCTAGGTGTGCACGCCACTTTTCCCTGTTGAACTTTGGCCGGAACTCTGACCCCGGCGCTCCCCCCACGGCCCGTACGTTCTCACAACCAGCAGCTCCCTCGCCCTCACACTTGCCCTCTTCCTCCTCATCGTCCTCGTCGTAAGCCAAAGCACCGACCAACCTCTTGACCTCGTCCGTCCGCGCGACCTCCGGAAGGGTCATCCTGGGGTTGGGGTCAGCCACCGAGTTGTTGGTCACCCTGTCGGAGAACGTCCTCACCTCCTGGGACGGCCAGTGAGTGGTCAGCTGGAGCCTCTCGTAGGCGTCCACTTTCTTGGCCAGGTCTGCGTGCGAGGCCCAGGCTGCCGGCGCCATGCAGACGAACACGACGAAGCGCCACCTGCCGGGGTTCTGCCGACCCTGGATGGGCCGGGCGTTGGCGTGGACGAGACGAGAGTCCCAGAGAATGAGTCCTCCCTTCGGACAGGGCACGCGCCGTCGCTGGCAGCCCCGCTCCTTGAACCACTGCACGTGATGCTCCTTGATGTTCTTGCAGCGCCACTGACT